CGAAAGCTTAATAAGGCCTCAGTTAAAAAAAAATACACAAACATTACCATGGAGTCAATGTGGACTGAGAGGGACCCTATAGGACGGGGGAAACTGTCCCTGTGTGTTTCCTAGACTGTAACTCTTTATGGAGTAGACAGCCCCGTCTTTCTCCCTCAAGGCGGCTGGTGGTTCTGAACTGACTAGGATGGACCCCAGGCCATTTCACGTGGCATCTGATGTTCCCACACACTAGCAAAGACCAAGTTAGAAAACAACTCAGTGAGTACTGGTTCGGTCCAAAGTACCGCTCAATTCCAAAAGGAAACCAAGTAAGCAAAGCCAATAAAACAAATGAGAGGGGTCACACACCCCCCAAAACAAAAACAAAAACAGAAAAAGCTCCACTGGACAGAGCTTTTGTAGTACACGTCCCCCCACCCCCCAACCCCCACCCAGGTGAGCACTGAACAACTTGCCCTGAGTTAGTGCACCCAGTGGCATCACCTGGGAAGGTTCTCTCTGGTCACAGTGAATTTTTTCGTAAAAGCAGTTTCACTTGAGCCTTGCTTTTTGTGATGGCTGATTTAAGAGAACAGAGTGTGGCTGGGAAATTTTGTTTCCCGCTCAGGAAAAATGCCGCAGAAACTGTTGTGATGTTGCACACAGCTTACAAGGACAGCGCTATGGAAAAAACTCAAGTGTACAAGTGATTGTCTCCTTTCAAAAAAAGTAAAATGTCCATTGATGACAAACCCCCTTCTGGACGTCCATCAACTTCCCAAATGGACAAAAATGTAAACAAAATCTATGTACGTGTGCTAGAAGACCGACGACAGAACATTGAAGAGATGGGGAAGTGTGATAGTTAGGCTTATTGTGCCAACTAGGCCAATAGGAACATGTGGGTGGAGTTTAATCAGGTCTCAGCTTGATTGGAGGACAACTGAAATAAATAAGGACAGTTGGCATCCCATCTCCTTCTTGCTCCCTGGTGATCAGACCAGCGTGCTGCTGCTTAGCTACTTCCCTGCCTCAAGCTGTGTGCTACACGACCTCTGAACTAAGCCAACCTGTGGATCATGTCGCTAGAGCTTGAGGCTCCTTCAAGACCTGCTTCTCCCACGCTGCTGGGAGCTACATTGCTTGAACTTGAGGCTGGTGAAAATCCTGTCACCGTGCTTGAGTTCAAGATCCCATTGGGGTCTGCGGCACTAAGCTCCTGTTGCTGATCAACCCATCTGTCTGCTGCCTGCAGGCAGACTCTGCCTGCCTTGCCTGAGGGAAGACTCTGCTGTCTGCTTCCTTGACCTTGGACCCCAGTCGCCCACGTGAGTTGAAGGACTTCCAGCATATTAACTGTTCCATGAAAGTGAGTTGAACTGAGCCCTCTGCACTGCTGTGTGGACTAATTAGCTGTTACGTTCCTTCTTGCTGTATAAACCTATGCATGTATGTATATATATAAAATCATAAGTATCCTGGTTTTGTTTTTCTAGAGAACCCTGCCTAATACAGGAAGTTATCTGGACTATCTTGGAGCTTGATTTAGCAGATTGCTGTGAAATTAGTGCCTCGGGTTCTGAATGAATAAGAAAAAGAGTGTTACGTGGAAACATGCTGTGCTTTGAAAGAACAGCTCTGAAGCGACCCTCACTTTCTTTTCCAAGGTCATTACTGGTGACAAGACCTTGAAAGCAAACATCTCTCAAGCCAGTGGAAGATGCCATGGTCACCTCATCCCTCAAAAATCGAAATCAAAGATCAAGACGGTGCTCATTTGCTCTTTGACGCAAGGGAAATAGTGCATTCGGAGTTTGTTCCACCAGGTCAGACTGACTATTAATCAGGCCTTCTGTTTAGAGGTTCTGAAAAGTCTGCATAACAATATGCAACAAAAAAAGGCCTGATTTGTGGCAGACGGGGACTGGTTCTGCCATGACAATGCACCTGCTCATGCAGACATCTCAATGCACCAGTTTTTTGGGGGCAAAAAACAGCAATGCCTCTCTTGTCCCACACACCTTACTCACCTGACCTCGCTCTGTGTGACTTTTTTGTTTCCGTGAATGCAG